GCATGAAAAATAAAAATTACCTTGAAATTGTGAAACTAAAAAATGTAAGACAGAAAAAAGATCTTAAAGCAGGGTTAAGAAATAGATTTCCAATGTGGGAAACTGAAAGCTGACTTTTAGGTTGAAACAGTGGAAAGCAGAAGACAAATTGAATAGTATCTTGAATGCGTTGAACTGAAATAACTGGCCACCCCAGATATTAGTCCTGCAAAGATGCTGTTCTAACAAGGGAGTGAAACAGTGACACTTAAGACTAATAAAATCGAGAGAGACACTCACCCAGGGGAATTCTAAATGGTGAACTTCAAATGGAAGGAAAGTCTGATGCACAAGAAGAAATGAAGAAAAACAAAAATGGAAAATATATGGTTTGATCTAAATGAACAATAACTATATAAAACAGTAATAATAAAGTCTGATGGGATTAATAGAAATAAAATAATGATCATAACATAGGAGTCAGGAAGTGGATGAACAAAATTAAACTGTCTAATGTCTGTGGATATATTAATTTGACATGTAATTCAATAGTTTATATTTTTGGATAACTTCTCAATAATAAGAAAGTGTGTTTAGGTTCAAAATTAGTAGGGCAGAAGGATGAAATAATTAGAAATATTCAAGTGATTTATAAAAAGCTTAGAAGGGGAGGGAAAAAATCCACATAGTGCCAGAATAGTTGTCAAGCAAGTTGATTGTAAGAATAAAAATCAACTACATGGTTTTTGTTTTGTTTTGTTTTGTTTTACAAAGGACACATCTGTGACATGGGAATCCAAAGGTATTAAAAATAAAAATATGGCAAATAGTACTCAGGCAAATTTGAGTTTAGAGACAAGAAACTGCTGTTTCTAGAAAAAGTAAAAAGAATGACAGGGTGATGGCCATCTCTGGGGACCATCCCAAGAATGGGGCAGCCAGAAGATCCAGAAGATGCTTTGTTAAAGATTGAGGGGGTGATGGTTCCCCTAGCTAGATGGGCTTGCAGGGTGAAAGGTCTTCAGAACACCCCAAATTATAGGTATTTCAAATTATAGGTATTTCCTATATAATTTTCCCCGTAAAATGCAAAACGTTAACCCTAGAATCCTGAAGGAAAGCTAGATGCTCACTGCATCTGTAGACACAAGATAGGTCATACACACACTGCCAACGTGTATTCTGTCATTGAAGCAGATTGTAGCCTCCCAGCTTTTCTGATTTCATCCCAGCTTTTCTGATTTTCACTTGGACTTGTTGGTAGAGTGGCTTCTCATAGAACTGAGCTTTCGCTGATTTCCTTTTCTCTTGCCTTTAGTCATCCAGAAGTTCTGTTCTCTAGCCATTCCTCAGAAACCCCCTTATTTCCTATGCACTTAGAATACTTGCATTAACAAATGCAGCGTGCCATTTTTTTCACACAAGTAAACGTGAGAATGGTGACGATACAACCGGGAATCAGCTCATTGACCAGGATTCAGAAATGCCTGGGGTCATGTACCTGGGCAGTAAGTTTCCCATAGACACTTTTTCTTGGAAAGCCCATTTTTGTGATCGGACCAGGGCTTTGGGCTCCTTTATGACAGCAAGATGCCTTTTAGCAATAACCATCAAGAAACTTGGAGAAATAGAGTTGTATTACTCAGACAAAGTAGAAATTACATAGCGATAGCACCCCTGGGTCACAATGAGGTGGATGGTTTCTTTAGGGGGACTTGTAGGTGAGAATGGGGGGGGAGGGGAAGAGAAGAGAGAAGCAGAGGTGGACAGCATAGAGGCTTGGGTCCTTGGGGCAAGGGTGGCAATTCGTTCCCTTGCCCTCCCTGACCTGGTTCCACCAGCCTGGGGTCCCACTTTATTTCTGTTCCTTTTCTCCTTAATAAACTTTTTCCTTCTCTAATCAAACATGCCTCTTCTCACTCACTTGCCTGAGCATTAGCGAAGTTCCTGCTGCAGTTTCACGAGACACCAATGAGACACTAGTGGCCGGGACTCAGGACTGCTACTGCGGCCAGGGACCCATTCCTGGCCTGGAGACCAGGCCTGAAAACCTGAATTTCGGTATCAACTGCCCCTGGAAGGTGACCAGTCATGGCAAATGCCAGCCCTTTCCAGCCTCTGGAGAGTCAAAAGTGGCCTGGTGCTGTTCTCGCATCTCAGCTAGAGCCGGAGGGACGGCCCAGGCTCCAGGCCTCATGGGCTGGCGCTGGGGCTGGGGGCAGGGGCAGGGCTCCCAGGCTGAGTTCTGACAGACTGGTCATTCACATCTTCCCAGACAACAACTTCACTAGGAGCAGAAAAAAGATGTGGGGACTGGATCGGGCATGTGTTTAAAGAACCCAAGTGCCTGTAAGGAAGAAGAACACAGGTGAGCCTCACGGAGGGAGATTGAGGGGTTTGAGCTGTTAGTCACTCATTCTGCCTTTTCCTGGCCACATTCATTCCTCTGATTCAGACATGACAATGGAGCCAATTAACTTGAGCTTTGTAACAGATGGTTACCACACAGTTTAAAATAAGATGCCATTTTGCTCATCACCTGCTAAGACTTAGATGAAAGAAAACACAGTTCTCCACAAGAAAGAAGAGCGTATTTTGCCCCCAAAGCGGCCCTCTGATTCCTTTAATACCACAGGACCACCGAGGCCCCTTCTCAGAGAGTCTCGCCCACGTGCACCTGTGCCCGCCCCTCCCCCGGGACCACAAAGCTCTGCCTTTCCGTCCGTGTGCCGGACGGTCCCGCCAACCAGGGCCCCACATCGTGGAGGGTTGTGCCCGAGGCCTGGCAGGTGGTCCAGACCCGCTCACGCCCGCCTGTGCTTCCTGGCACGCCAGCTTCCTAGCTAAAGAGCCCTGCAGCTCTGTCTTCTGTACTCCCAGGTGAGCTGCTGGGACGAGGAATGACCTCTCTGCTTTCTCCCCGTCTGCCAAGTTAGCGAGCTGGTCAGAGCCAGCAGGTAGGGGGAAGAGTGTGGCTGGAGAACTCACTTCTCTAGCACCTTCTCTCGCCCTGCAGTCACATCTCCCGTTGACAGCCCTCCCCACCGGTCACTCGTCCTGCGTGTCTGCCAGGCCTGCGGGTGGGGACGGTGCCCCCGCAGCACTGGTCCAGCTCAGCACTGGTCTTTGCTGGGGTCTTCAGCCTGGCCCACCCTCGGCCTGCGGCTCCTCACGGCTCCTCTCTTGGAGGCACACATCCTTTGGTTTTGCTTTCCTATCAGGTAGGAAGTGACGGGTCCATCCAACATGGCCAAGGCCATTCCAACCTGTGCGCCCTCCTCTCAGGTCTTCTGCACCACTCAAAGAGCTTGACAACTTTTGTGTCTAGGTCAAGAGCTGAGACCAGCGCCCTTTCCTAAGAGAGAAGCACTCACTGGCCCGAACAGCCCTGTCACCACGCTCCGGCTATGCGGGGTGTCCCCCACTCGTGGGGCCTCTCCATGTGCCAGGCGTCTGCTCCGCAGCAGATGGGATCAGCAGGCGATGTGGAGTCAGAGGCCTTGTCCCTGACCCCAGAGGGAGCAGCGGCTGAGAGGTGGAGGCAAACGCCACAGGCACTGCCAGCGCAGGCTGCGGGTGGAGCCCCCAGGGAGCTGAGAGGAAAGGCAGACTCTTCCAGCCCAGACGTGTTGTTTTGCAAAGATCTATGATTCAAATGATGGCAAGGGGGCTAGGTGTTTGCTCTGTCACAGGAAGATCTACATCTGTTTTAGACATTGGTTTTGAGCTAGTTACTTCACTTGCAGGAGTCCGAAGAGGACAGCTGGGCTTGCTCCCCAACTCTGTTCTTACTGGGATGGCGGAAGAAATGTTAAGGGGAAGGAAGAGGCTGAAGCCAGGCTAACTCCGGCTAACTACAGAAGGAAGCTTCATATGACACTCCAGGCACTTCACCAGGCCCAGCCTGTCCTCTCTTGCAGATGGGAAACTGAGGCCCAGTGAGGTGACTCAACTCCCATGACCACGGAAAAGAGTGGGTCTCCCGTTTATCTCCAAAGCCTATGTCTTTCATTTTTTGGTGGCGATATCTAAAGGACAGAGTATGTTTGGAATAAGGGAGAGAATTTTGGCCTATGGGATATGAGGATGATGGCAAGAGTTTCATTAAGTTTACTTTCTGATACCAGGCATAAGAGTATTTCCATACATCATACTCAGTTTACAGGTATAAATACAGATCTTACGATGGAAAGGAAGGGAGAAGAGAAAGAAGGAAGGCAGAAAGAAGGAAGGAATAAAATCTTGCATCCTGAGCACATTCTCCCACTTCCTGAAAGCTTCATCAATCAGTCTTACAATGCTCGGCGCCCATAATCAAGCATCACCAAAATCCAGTCACATAATCCCAAGCCGCTCGATGGTTACACCCTGTTAGTAAAGCCAAGCTAAGACATGACAACTACAGCAAACTATGTACCAATATACCTCATGAAACAGATTCAAAAAACATTCAAAACTGAAATCAAATCACATATATCCCCTTTACACACCCTTGAGCCTCCCTCCCTCCCTCTCCCGCTTAACCTCAGAAACCTTCATTTATCAACATCTGCTAGTTTGGATGAGTATTTTGCTGTGCCGAGCCATCTGCTGTATAAATATCATTCTGACTTGCTTTACTAGTCACAACACCTTTAAAATCCTGCTGTTCTGTGGCAAATGGCAACATTTCTCTTTCCTGCCGCCGAACAGCATTCCACAGAGCGGCAGACCGCATCTCTTCGGGACCCAGTATTCCAGCTGGGTGCACCGGAGATGGGGTGAGGCAAAGCCAGAGGAGCTCTCTGCAGAGGGGACTGGCCCAGCAGTTGGATCTAGGGTCATGGAGGACATGCAAGAAACCTCAGCGGCTCAGTCACCAGGTGGCGGGGTGGGGGTGGGGTGGGGGGGTGAAGGGGGGTGGGGAGCACAGCCTGTCCTCAGGGCAGGGCTTCTGGTTCCGGCCTCCAGAGTCTGACCTGGAACCCCCTGAGCCAGGCAGGTACCTGCAGGGCTCGGGCCCGCTGGGACCAGCGACTCACCTGCCTGTTCCAAAGCTACCATGGTCGCCTGCTCTATCAAGTCCCGTTCAATGAAGCTCCTGAAGTCTTCACTGTAGACGCTCAGGTCTGGCAGCTGGAATGTGTAGATTGGCATCTCCAGCGGGAACTGCTCGTTGTTGCACTCACTTGCAACGTGGGACCGGGCCAGGGAGACGATGGCTGAGCTGGCATGGGAAATGCCCCGGGAAAGTCGCTTTTCTGCAAGGGGAGAGGAAACGACAAGCAAGAGCATGAGGGTGGCTGTGTGAGTGTGCACGCCCGGGCACACACACCACACACGTGTACACTAGGACATGCTCATGCCATGCACGCACACCTATGCAGACACACGCAGCACACATGGACACACAGCACACCACACACAGGTACATGGCATACACATGCATTTTCATACATGCATGTTCACACGCGCGCACACACACACACACACACATCTCCTTCCTCCTCCATCCTGTCAGGCTTTTCCTGCAGGCCACCTGCTGCTGGGATAAGCCGACTCCGCCTGGCATGAGGCACTTACTCACTCTGAGTCACGGAACCATTTAGAAAGAGGAGAGCTGCCAGCCCACAGCACCGCACCCATCAGCATCGTTAAAGATCACCAGCCCTGCTCTTTGCATTTTAAGTTAAGGCCAACTCAGTCCAGCAGAGCTGCCCTCTTCCAGCATCTGGTGCTGTGAGGAGACTGCTCTTATTTTTGTGCATGTATGCATTTTAAGCAAGCAGCCATCGATCTGGGCTTTCTCCACCTGGCTTGGATCTGAAGGTTAGGTTACTTTGTTCAAGTTATTCTGGTCGACCCATCTCATACACAGGTTCCCCAACACAAATGTCAAACCTTTCTCTTCTGTCTGGGCTCTTTGTTGTTACAACACTCTCAAAAAAGGCTGGCCTACTCTGGTCCAATTCTGTGAACTTCCCAACAACAGGTACGGCACACAGGGAAGGATTTCTCCGGAGTACGTGTCACTTGGGGACCAAGTTGATCATGTGATCTCAGCACAGCAAAAAAGTAGGTGCATTTGTTCTCTGGATGCTATAGAAATGCATGCGTGTATGTGTGTGTTTAAATAATTTATGCTTACAGAACTGGGGTACAGGACAGAGGTGTGGTGGGTGAGAGAGTTCACCAGAGACAGAGTGAGTAATAGAACAGACAGATGTACTAAAACACACTGCTGAGGGGAGTAGCAGGCAGGTCAGGAGAGGTCTGCCACATCATGTGGGTCAGCTCCCTGACTGGGGATCAAACTCGCGCTGCAGTGGCTTCAGAGAGCTTCATAATGCGGTGCTTTAACCTGCTGCACCACCAGGGAGAGCCATACTTGTGTCTATAAGGCTTGTGCTTAATAGCTGGTATCTAACATAACACAAGAATACTTAAATATATGGTGATAGGTAGAACTTTATTTTTTTTAATTTTTTTTTAAAAGATTTATTTATTTGTACATACAGAACTGGGGTACAGGCCAGAGACTCAGGGGCAGTGAGAAACTTCACCAGAGACAGAGTGGGGAGCAGAACAGGCAGATCAACGAAGTACACTGCTGAGGGGAGCAGCGGGCGGGTCAGGAGAGGTCTGCCGCGCCATGTGGTCACCTCCGGGGCAGGCGGGGAATCGAACTCATGCAGAAGTGGCTTTAGCTTCTTAGTGCTGTGCTTTAACCCGCTGCACCACCAGGGAGGGCCGAACTTTATTTTTTGACAGTTATTTGTAATAATGGGAATTCTTTTGACAAAACAGTGATCTTTTATTTTTGTCCAGAAAAACAAAATTTAAGCTGATATTTTTGAATGAGCGCAGTGTGTCTCCTGTGGCTCGTTCCACGTGGGTCACTGAGATGCCCACTTCGTGCCAGGCGAGCCTGCTCAGGCCCAGGTTCTGGTTCAGGTGATACCCTATGTGCTGAAGGAAGCCAGGAGTGGCTTACTTCTGCCCTGGGCCTCTGGTGGGCATCACCCCAGCACCACATAAGCCAATGGGGGACAGCGCTTTACACCCCAGAGCCTGTTGAATTTATCCACAGGAGCGCCCCTAGGTCAGTTTACCCTGTTGTGCCTTTCCCAACAAAACCATAATGATGGCGCCTGTCCTGCTGCCTCTCACCCCACTCTCCGCCTGACCCTGGTGCTGTCCCACGGGGCACTGCCTTTCATGACAGTCATTTCTGTGTCTGCATGTCTTACATATTTGATTAAAAGAACCACAGGTACATTTTAAAACAGGGGTGCCAACCTTTCCTTAAAGGGGCAGACCCAATATTTTACTTTCAGGGCCATCTAGTCTCAGCCACAACAACTCAGCTGTTTGTGGCACTGAAACAATCACAGGAAATACATCCATGAAAGGGTGTGGGTGTCCCAATAAAAGCTTATTTAAAAAACTGGCACTGGTTAGTTTGGCTCCTGGGTCATTGTTACTGTCCTCTGGCCGCATCGGGAAAGCTTCGTTTTCCATTTTGTTGCACTGTGACTTCAGGGAGAATTCAACAAAGGATTCGTATGTCGGGTTCAGACACTACAACTTTTTAAAGTAGACAGGGCTGTCCATAAGATGCGATTAATGGAGTTTTGTGTGTGAATTTATGTTCCTTTTCCTTAAGTCACATCGATCAAAGTCACACAAGAGCAGGATAGACACTGATTCCCACTTCTCCTGCCAAGTCCCCTTGAGGGCGCCACGATTACCTGTCAAACGGCACAGGGAGGGTCATTTTGGTGTCTGTTGGGATTATGGCTCATGGACAGGCAGGAGCTGAGGTGCGTGGCCCTGGAGGGGGAGGAGTGAACCCAGTGACCAGAAGAGGAGTTCCTTCAGAGTCTGATCTAAGGGTGGCAATGAGGGAGAATTTAAGAATAATATAACACAGTGGACAGGCAGTAATCGAGCCTCAGTGTCCTTTCCTTAAACCGCTGGCAGTTTCGCAGAGCCAAAGTGGGGGAGTTTCCACCCAGTTTTCCACGGGTCCTGGCTGTGGAGGACTGAGAGAGGGGTTCTAGGTGCACCCCATCTCCCCAGACACAGCCCCGCCTTTCCACTTCATCCCTGCCGCCTGGGCCAGTGCCAACTGGCCACCCTCAGTGCAGTGCTGGGGCACAGGCACATACCACACACCCCAGGCCTCCCCTCTTGGCGCCAGCACAGCCGCTGAACTTAGTTGTGACAGGCGCCGGGCTGCAGCTCTTGCAACGAGCAGCTTCTAGAACGGTGGCGCTGGGAGTTTCCCTACGGGGCAAAGTCAAGTGGGGACCACTTTGAGCCCACATGAGAGCATCCACAGTTCTTCAATGAGTGCTTTTCCTCCTCATGTTCTCCCTCAGAGGGGTGCAAACCAGAGCCCCCGCCTTTGTTCTTCCCCCAAACACTCTGTGAGCAGCTAAGATGGCGGCTGACTGCCAGTGCGGTGCGTCCACGCAGCGGAGACAGGACAACCGCAGGGCAGCAGGCGCCGGGACAGAGCGTCAGCGCGGTGCCTGTGGTGGAAGGGACAAGGGGCAAGATGGTTCGCAGCCCGGTGAAGGAATTTTAAAAGAGACGAGTAGACTGAGAAATAATAGAAAATGTGAACACTGACTAGGAGAATGGACTCCTGTGAACAATGAATTAGATGAGAGAAGGTCAAGTCTAGGACATGTCTCAGAAGACGTGAAAAGAAGAAACAAAGTCAATGGAGGAATGGGTTTAAAGCATTCACGAGAAAAAAATAAAAATCGGATCTCGGAATCTTATTCCACTAAACAAAAATTAAGTATATCATTGTGAACAGCTTTAGGCACTCAGAGCTTCCGGGGATTATGCAAACATTCTTTTAGAAATGAGTCTCTGAGTAAATGTTGTTCTCACAGTGAAAGAAAAGGAAAGAAGTTAATTGTCTAAACCAGCAACACAAATAATTTAAATATGATCGAGGGCAAGTGAAGGCAAGCGGGAGAAGGTGAAAGTGTATTACATGCCATGCCTCTTTCAGGACAAAATTTTTGTCAAAAGATTTTTTTTTAAATAGGGGGAAAACCTAGATATAAGTTTTAATAGAATAGGGAGTAACTATAACATGAGTAGGAGTAGAATATTTAAGTTTCAAATTAGTAGCAAAACTAGTCAAAGAAGACAGGAAAGGGGGAAAATGCAGACGAAACTGTATGGTAAATAAAACAACACAAAGAAATCCAGTTGACATAATTAAAGAAATATTAAATTCCTGCTTGAAAGACAGGGACTGTTGGATTGGATCATAAGATAACATCTGATGATATAGCACTTAGAAGAATCATAGTTAATATCAAAGGATATGGAAAAATTAAAAATAATAGCTGGGAAAAAAAGAGATTCCATGCAAATATGGACCAACAGAAAGGCAGGGTAGAGATTTGATAACAATTGAAACATTTAAAGAGAAAAATCATTATATGGGGCAGAGACATTTTATATGTTGGTGAAGAAAGAATAATAAAGAAAAATGGTCCGACAGTGATGAACACATGCACACCTAATAATATGGCCTCAGGACGAATACAGTAGAAGAGACAAAACTAAGAAAAGCGACAGATAATAAATATTCAAATCTCTAATTCAATTGTGGCTTTTCTACACAAGAGAGCAAGCATAAAAGACTCCCAGACTTAGATTCCACTGTAGCTTGAATAATGAGACTGAGCTAATAGAAAGAAAGACAACACTCATTCACAATAGTGTGCGATGGTTGACCTAACGCAATCAAACGAGAAATGGAATTCACTGTGTAAATATCAAGAAGAATATTAAATTATTTCAGATGATATGATTGCATACTTAGGAAACCCAAGATATTCTCTTAGAACAAACTATTAGTATTAATGAGATTTATGCAAATTACTGGATAAGACATAAATATGCAAAAATAAGTTGCTTTTTTCTATGCCTAAAGATGTAACCAAATCTGAATAAATGGAGAGGCATATGTAGTGTTCGTGAATGCGAAGACAATTATTACACTACGTCAATTATTCTTAAAATAAAAACCCAATTCAATTCCAGCTAGAGCTCTAAGTACCCAAACATAGTGGCAGAATAAATATCCAAAAGTAGTGAACAAGAATTAGAAAATACTTGCAATGTAGGGGACTTGCCTTAGCAGAGAGAGAGCTGCCATAGAAAGCAACTAAAGTCAAGAGTAACAGACTAATATTAGTAATATCATTATTCAGCTATTTATAAAATTTCAAATCGATTAAGTGACCTAAGACAAAACTTAAAAATTGGTACAGGAAAACATTTTAATAATTCTTTATTCCAGCAGACCTTCTAAACTGAGAGAGAAAACTCACTACCCAAAAAACATTTTGTAGGCAGAATATTCTATAATCAAAGTTATAAGGCAAATGATGCACCGTACATATGAATACATATACATACAAATGTGTGTGTGTCCATACGTATGATACAAGTGTACATAGATAAAACTACATGTTTGCAAGCTTAAGGGCAAAGAATGCTACAAACTGATTAAAAAATGAAATGTGTCTATAGAAAAATGAACCAAGCATATGAACAGGCACTTCACAGAAAGGGAAAGCTCATCACCTAACAGGCAAAGGACAAGATAAAATTTAAAGCAAGAGACAGTTGTGTGCCTTCAGAGACAAGAAAACAATGTAAAACCATCTAAAGGACATTGCGGCTGGACTGAAAAGGGAGATGCCTGATTTCACACACAATGAGCAGGAACAGGCTTAAGAAATACATCTTAACATCATCAAATTAACAACAGACATGTTTGCACAGTGAGCCTCTGGGAACAAACACCACCTCCTGGAAGGAAAAGCACCATGTGTGTGTAAAGATAATGAAGAGATTATTTTGGCGTTGCCTGTAGTGTTAAAAACAAACATCAACCAAAGCGGAGAAATAAACGAATAATCATAAATACAGGAGTGTTTTAAAAATTACTGTATGCTGGTGATAAAATATTAAAAGACTTGGTTCATCACCAGCTGTTCAGTGAAACAGCAACTTCCAAGGTGCAACACCCCTTTGCCCCTGATGCCTTTGTGATCTGAACATGTCTGGCAAAAGAAGGAGACAGGCCAGCATGTCACCACTGACGATTACTTCAGTGAGATTTGGGAGGTGTGAAGAAAAAAACTCATGCTTTTCTTATATAGTTGGCTCTTGAACAACTCAGGGTGCGGGGTGCCTACCCGCCCTTGCAGTTGAAAATCTGGTCTGACTTTTGACTCCCCCAAAGTTTAACTACAGTCACCCCTTGGTGTCCACAGATGCTCAAGTCCTTTACGTAGTGGGCCTTGCTTAGCTGCAGGATCCAAGTTCATGGATTCAACCACCTGACTGTCTGAATCTGAATCCAGATTCTATCTACCCTGTGGATAGAAAAAAACCCCAACGACTGGAGCCTTGCAGTTCAAATTCATGTTCAAGATCAACTGCATACATAATTTCATAGTTTCCTGGGTCACAATAAGCCTATCTTTTGTTAATTAATAGAAAAGAATAGAGAGGATGAATGCACGGGGTGATGAATGCTAACACTGAGCAGACAGGAGACTGTGCTACCAGAGGGGTAATTAAAGGATCTAGAGATGTTTGGTTTTGAAAAACCAGAACCCCAGGAGGAATGCTGGCTTTTCATCATGTGGGCTTCAGCAGAATGGGATGAACTGCCCAGCTTTACCGAAGCCAAGGGAGGAGCTGTGACTGGAAGCTGCAATGAACAGTTTCGCTGAGCACAAAGAAGGATGCATGCAGGGCCTGCGGCTGGGGGGTGAAGACCTCACCATTCTGTGCACCCCAGCCCTCCCGTCAGCCATGGCATCCTGGCCCAAAGGGGGCTGTGTTTGAGCTTGGTCAAACAAGCTTCGCGAGTACCTTGGGCAATTTCGTCCTGTCTTTGAAGGCAGGGTCGCTCCACCTTGTGCCCCGCCTGGGGTGCCTCTCGCTCTGGCTGCTTGGGGCACCTGCCCTCGTTGAACACATGCGGCAGGTTGGCTGTGTGCACCTGTCGGAGCTGTTCATAGTCACTCAAAGCGGCTGTCAGGTCCCAGTTCTTGCCTGTGGACAAGACATGAGAAGAGGTTACATTATGACTGCGGGGTAATGGTCTCCCTGCACAGAATAGGTGTGCAAGAAGGGGACTGTCTTTAGCTCTCAGCAAACTAATAAGACTTCCGCCAGTAGTTCTCACTTTCCAAAGGATGACCTCGTGCTTAATCTCTGAAAGTAGAATGTCACACCCACAACTGACATAGAGCCAAGCTATGCAATTGTGGCTCGTCTCATAATCTTATAGCTCACACATGTAACCACACACTTCAAAACACAACATTCCTACTGATCACAGTCTCCTATGAAAATCAACTTCTACAACATGATGTTGGAAGGAGCAAAACATTAAAAACAAAAAAAAAGTTAAAAAAAATCCCAAACTTTCCTCATAATTTTGCTCAGAGTTTTACTTTTTCTTTTAAGCTTAATATAATGAAAAAAGAGCTTCTTGTGTGAACCCTCGGCAGGAGGAGACTTGAGAGTTCAGGCACTGATTTGGGTGATACCTGGTGGGACAGGCATGCCCATCAGGGGTGAGGCACAGCAGGGTCTCAGACACCAGGGTCTGTGCCAGATGCCAACACAGACTCTTCAAGGCAGGAGGGGAGCTATTTTAGGGGGCTGGGACTCAGTGTGGAGGTTTGAGCTCCTGCCTCTGAGAATCAGTGGACCTTTAATGGAAGGATCAAGGAAATGCACGCTGAATCCCAGTCAATTAGTTATCATACTCTTCTTTTCTCCTCTTAATTTTCATCCTCTTTTGAAGATTATGGCCATATCCATGTGAATAATTGTAAATCTAATTACAATGTATATCCTGAGCTTTAAGGTCAACTATCCAATTATTGCAGGCAGATGTGAGCAGATGATCTGATTTCTATTTTCCTCTAATTCTATATGCACAAATTCTGAACTTCTAGAAATTCACCCAGCTAGAAATATTCATTTTTCTCCAATCTGAGATCATTGAAGTATGTTCCTGATGTCCTATTTTTCTCTATTTGCTTATGCTGTTTTCTTCTTCCAGCAATATTTCCTCCAAGCAGAACTGTATGACTGTATGACAGAATACCTAACTTAAAGACTTCACAGATGGAAAGTTCCCTGTCAAGTTTTCTCTTTCACAAGATGCCTCAATGTTTGATGATTACAGCATTATATCAAGTTACTGGATTACTAACAGGCACAGATTTCATGATAAATATCAGCACCTGTATATACAGTTTACTAGTGAAATGTCTGACCTTTAAATTTTAATTCATTTTATACTTTTACCATCCAAAGAGGAACAATAATTGGGGTTAAAGCTCAAATTAAACCTCACAGATATGATTTGTCCTTAGAGAGCTATGTGCTACTTTAATTTAGTCCAAAAGTGTCATGTCTGTAAAAGAAAATTGAAGCAGAAGTACATGAACTCATAGAAGAGATGAAATAGGAATGGACTAATCATAGGGAGAAAAGGAAAATCAAGTCAAAATCATTTTAGAAATGAAGATAAGGGAGCAAAAAGAAAATGGTTCACAAAACTAAAAAGTAAGTGGACACAATGGAACAGAAATTTTAAAAAATGGTTGGAGAGGAAGAGTAGATACAGAACATAGGTAAAAAAAAAAGGCAACACATACATTGGCACGTGAAATAAGAAACCTAACATAATGGAAAAGAAAAATAATTTTAAAGCTATAGTAAAAAACAAAACTTTGAAATACAGATTTGCCATACTTAAAAGGCACACACATGTAAGGAAATTGTCCTAGTACAGCTAACACCAGACTATAACTTTGTTTTTTTTTATTAAAAAGTTTATTTTTACATCATTTTGCACATTTTTTTTCATCTCAATTGTAATACCAGACTATAACTTTGTTTTAAGGATAAAAACAGTATTTGAATATTTCAGCAATAAAGAAAGAAAAATCAGACTGGTAACACACCTGGATTTGGGGGCTTGCTAACCCTGGAGACACGGCCCCTCCCAGTTGATCTAATTCTTGGTAACAGTTAATTACTCTCCAGCAATATTTCATTTGCAAACCAGACAACCCACAGCCCACACCCCTAGTTGGGTCAGGGTCAGGGGAACCTGGGCGCCAGATCCACAGCGGTGAGGAAGCGCCTCCTCCAGAGCCATCCAGGTCTGAGCTGGCTGCTCCTGCTTCCCGCCCACCACCACGAGGCCTCAGCCCAGGTCCCCCTCTCACTCCACCTGCCTCCAGCCTGCCCCGTGCCTGCCCCTGCCCGGCTGGCTGCCTCTGGGGATCTGTGAGTCAAACTTCCTCCTCGTGAAGTCCTTTCTGTGACTTCCCATACCTGGTTAAAACAAATCTGAGGTACATCGTCAAAGAGAAGACAGAAGTATGAACTTGGGCACACCAAACAAAAACACAGAAACTCTAAATGCCCCAGTGGAGGAGAGACGAACACGACAGCGCTGGGACACGTGGGCTCCAACCCCCTGAGGCCAGAAGAGCGAAGATTTACCGTGGCTCTCCAGTCTGCTGCGCCACACCTTTGCATGTCAGGATACAGGGTGATAGAGCAGCGGCTCTTGAAAACGGCCTGAAAATGCGGCGGAGGAACACAAATCTTGGCGCGCCACCCACTAAGGATAACATACCCCTCGCAGGAGACACCTCACTTGCGTGGGAAGGCGGAACCAGTCGCCAGGGCGATTCTCTCATGGCCCACAAGGGGCAGGCAGAGAGCGCTAACTTTGAGCAAGGCAGATGTCATAACCGTACACGAATAGCTTTTGCATATCAACAAAAGTAAGCTGGAGGAGATAAAGCATCGCATTGCGGCTGAAAGATAAAGTACGGAGAGATGAACTTATGGAAATGCGAAAAACATAATATGCCTGAAGCCACAGCAGTTGAAGCGCTACGTTATGTGCTTTGGAAAACTCAACATCATCATTTCTTCCTAGGCTAATTGATACATGCAGTGATCTCGAAAAGCATTAACAGGTTTTTAATCGCTTCTTCAGCTTAAGATCAGACAGGAAGATTTTATTGTTCATTTGGAAAAATAAGCAAGACTAAGCAGAAACCCTCGGAGACGTGAGCTCAATGGGGGAGGGGCGTTTAGAGGTGTGTGGGGTGCTCTAAGAGGGAGGCAGGTTAGTTTTTGAGGAGTTCTTCCCCTTCCACCCCTCCCCCGCAGGTGGTCGGGGAGACAGCAAAGGGCTGGGGGGAGCGAGCAGAGTCATCCCCAGAGATGAGGAGGCTGGTGTGTGTGTTGGGGGACAGCCCCTCCAGGGATTCAGATTGTGGGAAGGGGCCAGAGCTTTACAGACACAGCTGTGGGCCACCAGCTGCAGTGCTTGAGTCCCCAAAGAGGGGCAGAGGGTGAGAGCTCTCTGACCTTCCTGTGGGGGGAGGGGGGAGGAGGGCGGAGGGAGGGAGGAGGAGGAGTGGGGAGGAAGGGGGGTGGTGGAGGAGGGCAGAGGAGGGAGAGTAGGAGGAAGGGGGGGGGGAGGGTGGAGTAGAGAGCAAGAGAGACCCAGAAACCAGCAAGGAAAAAACAAAACCAAGAAATGACCGATTCACAATCCTAAATACACACAGAGAACATGAAGTGTTACAGAGTTTGTGGAAAAGTAGCTGCAGAGACCCCTTAAATTGACAGAAAGATGTTTAAATTCATGCACAGAGTAAATGCAGTTGCATCTACACTGAGAAACCATTTCACACATTTCAGAGCTGCAGCAATGTGCAGCTGCCAACCCACGCGCGTGCGGGCCACGCAGGCACCCCCCTGCGGGCACCCCCCTGCGGGCACCCCCCTGCGGGCACACTCCTGCGGGTGGGTGGTCCTGCCACTTGCTGGAGGAGGTGCTGCATGGTTGATGCCCCAGTCAGGCATTCCCCAGTGCGAATTTCCAGTGCATTTTGCCTGGGACTTTATCTCACACAAATACATATACACATACAAATGACGTATGTACAGCACATATGTTGTATCATCATTTATAACAGCAAAATGAGGCCAAAAGTTAAGACACGCCTACAGGAGATGTTTAAATCCAGTGCAGTACAGCCCACCCAGCTCAGCGTTGGGCTGCTGCATGAAGCATGAAGCCGCCACCGAAAAGATCTATAAAGTAAGAAAAATGTAAAATATTTATAATCTTACCTCCAGTAAGGAGGTAAATGCACACAGAAATATATAAATATACACAAATATACAGAACATATATGTGTGTGTGTGTGTGTGTGTATACATATAACTGTTTGCATTCACATACACAATTCTTGGAAGGGTAAATATGAAATTAACACAATTGGTGGCGGGGAGGAACAGAAGCCTCCATATTTTTAACATTTCCCTCTTTTTGAATTTTGGGCTATTTGAATAAACTAATTATCTAAAACAAATAGTATGCAAAATTAAAGTAAAATTCTTTTCTAAATGATTGAAGAACAATTACCCAGTATTTCAAGTGTATTAGAGTGGGAGCATTCTTTATGTTTAGTTTGCCACGTTGCCAGAAATGGCTTCCATCTCATTTACATTTACAGGCAACAGTCTTGGATTTCTCAACCATTATGCCGAGACAGAAATAGAAAGAACCAATTGAAATAACTCATCTTCCGAGCTAGTTGATTTTATAAAGTTAGTTTCAAATTAGCTTATTTTTATGGAAATATGAGAAGGAAATTAGCTCAAAAGTCAGTTCAACTAATCTTTAAATTGGCCATAGTTCATCAGATTCTTGTGTTATTACAGTAAATATAATAATAATATTGCAAAATCACATCACTGACATTTTGTTTAAGAATTTTGATACAGAACATTTAGAGACATCCGTAATTTTGTATCCCACTTAACTACTGTGACTAGTATATGCCATACATTTAAACAAATGTTGATAGATGAGATTATTTTTATGAAAAAAGAAGTCCTGCAGAAAAGCACAAAGGCAGGGAGTCTCAGGGAACAGGACCCCCCTCATCCACCCCCCCTAGAATGAGTTTTGCAGTATTGTACTACAGTAGCTGTTT